ATAAGTCATAAATAGTGTAAAAATAATTCTGAAGCTCAACTTCTCACAAACTAGGAACCCTGAAAACAAGTTTTAAAAAAAGCAAATAAAAACAAATTACAAAGTGAACACAATGCAATCCTCTCCAAACTGCCCATCAGATGTCCTTTATGAGACAATTTCAGCTGGAGAAATGATAGGGAAACTGAAATGGGAAATCAGGGAGAATTCAATCTTTCAAATATTTACACTACTGATATAATCAGCTTTGGGCCATGCTCACAGTGATAGGACACAACACATTCTTAGAATAACCAAGGACATGAGGCTGGCCCATGAAATATTAACATAAATCACAATGCAATGAATGACTGCCAACTTTTTTCATTTTTCCTTTTTTTCAGACTTAGGTGAGTTTTTGGCAATATAAAATAGCTGCACATAGAGATGAAGTTTAAAATGTAACAAATACAAATAAAAATATAATATTTCCTAAAGAGAAATCAGATACATACATCTTTTTAAAATGTTGAGTTGAATAAAACATTTACAACAGTAGAAAGAATATTCACAGAAATGTCAACAATATAAGACATTCTTTTGTGAATCAGATGCATTAATAATTCTGAGAGACGAGAGGCTACCAACTGCCTTGTGAGAAACTGGTACTTTGTCAATAAATCAGACATGATAGGTCAGGTTCAAAGTCTTCCTATTCAACGAGCAGCATAGGTAATTTATGCACCTAAATGTATTTTTAGTGAAAAATGGTCATAAAATATTCATGAGTATTGGATGTAAAAAACACAGCAAACAAATAAGTCCACCAAAAATTTGAGTTAAACTGTCTTCATTTGGCATATAACAAATCTAGCTAAGGTCTGAAGAGGTGTAAGGGAAAATAAAAGAAGGGACTGAACAAAGGCTTTGCATGCTGAAACGATTCAACAGTTATACCTGGCCAAACATGGATTTTAATTTTGCTAGAGATGTGATTTAACAGCTGATACCACTTAGGGTTTTTTTTTTAAATTTTTGAAAAGTGGGTTCCTACAAACCTTGACTACTTTACTTTCTGGAGATAAAAGCTTTTGTTTGTTGAAGTTAAAAAGTTTTATTTTCTGGTGGTATTTAATATTAATCAACTTCTTGATTTACAAGAAAATGAAGGTTTCAAATATCAGCTTCTTAGGCACTAAAAACATTATCAGTCAAGTACATAAAGCCCAGTTTGGGTAAGACAATGGAAGGTGGGGAAAAGGATCTGCTTCAATATTAAAAACCACAAAACTTAGAAATTAAGCACATTTCTAAGTGAGAAAACATATTGTTGGTATAGATGTGCTGCTTTGACTTTTCTAAACTAGGAAATACATGTTGTACATCAAGGAAACACTGTAAATCACTTTGATGTATAAGTAAGTTTTTGCTGTTCCCTTACAATGTCTTAGGCACAAGGTTGTATGTTAAAAAAAAAAGCTTTCTATTGGTGGAAATAAAGACATTCCAACATTCTCTATAAAATCACATGATAAAACACTTCTCCAGGACTGCTTTGGATAATAACAAATGAGGACTGGAAGAGTGATCTATGCAAATTAAGCACCAGGTATTCTAAAGGCATGTACAGACTACTACTTGCTGTGTCAAGTCTAATCAGATGGTGTAAGCTAAAAGAGGTGAATGAAAGTTGAATAAAGTACAAGACCTATAAAATAAAGAGATCCGTGACCCAAATTTAAAAACAAAACCATCCAAAGGCACACTTTCGTCTTATACAAAGAAAGGTTGATCAATAAACCATAGTCTTAGCAAACTCATAAACTTAAAAAAATCACACATGGTTTAGGAATGCTATAAAGCAATGAAATTTTCCATAGTAGAGTTGCATTGTCCATAATGAAACATGAAAGAAATATATTAGCACCAACCAAAATGAGTGGAAAACCATTTTAGAGTTAAAACATATAACAACTTTCATCCTTTAAAGATGTTTTATCAGAAGTAAAAGTTGATCTGGATTTATTTCCAGTATATCTTCTCCCTATCTCTTCAGTTTTATCCAGTAATACAGATTAAAAGAACTTTTAAAGAAATTGTTCTCTCTCTGTATATATTTCAGTAAGTTCAATTCATTATCGATTCATTTGGAAATTATTAGAGAACTCTCTATGTTGATGATTAGAGATGCTTGAAAATATTTAGTAACCCAAAGTTTAAGAATACCTCTGGTTAAGATCTAGCAATTCCATAGAAAAAGAAGTACCATCTTCTTTTTTTCCCCAAGGAAATATATAGTGGAAATTTATAAGTTCTTTTAATCATGGAATAAGTTGATATTGTCAAATCAGTTATCAAGCAAAAATTACGCAGGACAGCCTTATGACTCTTCTACATGATAGATCCCACAAAAATATGTCAAGTGATTCTCTTTTGATGCTGAGATCTTTTCATTGGAAGCTGTAGAAGTATTAAATAGTAATCCATCTTTTTGACTCGAGGAATAGAAAAGAAGGAAGAAATACAGTCACTGGACTTTTCTCAGGATGTTATAGTTGTTTTGTCCAAGGATGATGTAGTTCCACTCACTTGGATTCTTTTTTTTCCAAATCATTTAAGACAATTGTTTCAGACATTGAGCAATACCTTATTCTAACCACAACCTATAAGAAATAGTTCTAAAATGTTCTCTGTTGTTTAAAAATGCTAAATTGGCTTAAGGTGTGGAATGTTACTAAACAAATTGCCATATAGGTGCATCTACTAGTTTAAACATCTCCCTACCCTTAGAAACTTCCTGTTTTTTTTAAAAAAAAGACATTTAGCCAGGTGTGGGTGGCTCACGCTTGTAATCCTAGCTACTCAGGAGGCTGAGATATGAGGATCAAGGTTCAAAGACAGCCTAGGCAGGAAAGTCTGTCAGACTCTTATCTCCAATTAACCATCAGAAAAACTGGAGGTAGGCTGTGGCTCAAGTGGTAGAGCCCCCACCTTGAGCTGAAGAGCTCAGAGACAGTGCCTAGGCCCAGAGTTCAAGCCCCACGACTGACAAAAATATAAAAAATAAAATAATTGAGCACTTGGTTACATAGATGAAAGTGATCATAAGGATCTTAGGCTATCCTTATGATCTTATAAGGATCTTATCATTTTATCTTTACTGAGGTTATCATAAACCAATGATGAGCTAATTTTCGGTGGTCTCCACCTATGCTCAGAACTGAAAATTTCCCACAAAATGGTGCTGAATCATTGAGGACAATAAAATCCTCTAATGAGCTGAGAAGCTGATTAAGTTCAGCAGTGTTTCTCCTCATGTAACTCTTCCACTTAAAACAAGCCATGTCAAAATGTGCTACCATGTTTTTAGACTGCGTGAAGAAATGCTCAATCTAATATCATTAGGTGATTTCTGAGCAAGTAGATGAAAAATACTCTTTATGGCAACTATATTTCATAGCTTTCTGCGATCTCAGATTTGGTCTGTGGATAAGACACACATTTAGAAATATGAAACCAACAGAGAAGTCTAAATATTAAAACCCTTACAATCATAAGAAATAAAAATGAATTAATGTTATCCAATGTGATAACATCTTGATTTTCTATTAATTGATAATCTCTGTGTATGTTACATTCATGATGTAAAAAAAAATCACTAAGTACTGACAAAATACTTTCCTTTCATACTTCACAATGAGTAAGCTGAAAACAGAACTTTAAAAAGGTATTTTCAATTATTTCAAAAAAAGATGGTAATCATTTCAATTCTTGGCATCAAATTATTATGAAACAACTCTAAACAATATTGCTTAAAACACAAGTGATAAAAAAGAAACAATTAAAAAAATAGTCCTAGGGCTAAGAAAAAGGATGAGAAAGAATGGAAAATCTTTTTTCTAGTTATTTTCTAGAACTTGTAGGAGATGTTGGATATGAGCGGGAGCTTGGGAGGAAGAAAAGTTCTCACAATCGGCTTTGGTGGAGACGGTAGCAAGGAGCTCCGGGCTGCTTCCACGGCCGTTGGCTGACTCCTTCTAGACACACATCACTTCTTCAGTTTTGGTGGGATGCCATATCCGTTGTCCTCAGGATCAGGGGCGGCCATTCCAAGAATCTCCTGTCCCAAGTAGCGCTTCATGTATCTCTCATTTTCCAAAAACACCCATCTCAACACCTGCTGGAATTCAGCTTATTTAAAAAAAAATGTCTGCTGTTCTGAGTGTTTGCATCTGTAAACCTCTTTCCTACTTGGTCTCCTGAAAGACTGCAGGATGCTGAGCTGGTCCTCTTCTGTGTCTTCACTGCCAAGGGCAGCCCAGGAAAAACTGGAGGCAGCCGTCGGCTCAAGCCCTTGGTATTTCAACCAAGGTGGCCACGTGAGCCTACAAGACCGGGAGCTGTAGACTTGCTGTTGGGACTGCAAGTGCCCTCAAAATACAAGATCAACTGTGTGTGGGCTCTCCACCAACTTATCTCTTTTTGGCAATAAGCCACGGTGTAACCCCCTTGAGATGGCAAAAGGAATAAAAGCTCAGATGTATAAAAGCTCAGATGTAATCAATGCACTCACCAAGCAGCATGCTCAGCTTCTGAATTTGTACAACAACAGGCAGGGTTGGCACACAGTCATGCATTTTGTTTTAGTGTCAGTGGGTGGTGTGGCCACAAATCAATGCTCATGGGGGGGGGTGAGTGGGAATGTGACAGTCCAGTCAGTCAGTAAAGTACACGTTCATAGCTTTTAGTCCATATTTGGTCACCATTTCATGTAAACTGTTTCATGGCATTTTTTTTGTCCATGCAATTAATAGGCCCAAAGTAAGAAAGTAACGAATGATCCTTCTTTATCGCTGATGTCCAATATAAATAGCTTCACATAACTGATCTATTTTCTGCAGGTGCCTCACTGGTTTCATAAATAAGCCAATTTCAGATGTAAGTGGAGGGAAGGTGAACATGTGTGCTACTGCGAACAAGAGGAAGCAGCTCTATGTAAACAGATCTCTGACTTGCAAAACCTGCATTTTGGTTTTCAACTATAAATATAGAGAGTGGACCGTTATATACACAACTTCATGCTTGGAAGGTTAGATTCATCACTGCAGGAAGACAACAAAAAGACAATACATGGAATTAGTAGCATTGGAAGCATTCAAAATCGATCTTTTAAGACAGCTGGTAGAACCTTGAGTACTGTCTTTCACTGAGCTGATAGAGCACTCGATATGTTTCACATATATATCCTGCTTTTCTCAATTCCAGGATGTCATGATAATTTGCATCCTAGGTTGAACCCATACTTTCTATTGAGAAATCTGTACAAAGTGTTTCTCTCAGTCAGTATTCTGGGAAAGCAGAAAATTAGGATTCTTTGACGTCTGTTACTGTTACATTATATTTGGTGTTTCTACTTTACATAAACGCCACGCAGTACAACCCTTCTGTCTGTAGTGGTGGTAGTTGTGTCCCTAACACTGCCTGTATGCTCTGTGCACTTTGATTCTTGGTTCTTCTTCCTCTGCCCTGCTAGAATGCTGGAAGGTTGACTTGCTTGCTGTTAGGACTTAAGCTGAGTCATCCAAGATTTCACAAATCCCGGATTCCTCATTTTGAGCTGCCATCCTTAGGAAGGGTTTAAAATTTATTTTTTTTAAATTTCATTGTAAAAATGATGTACAGAGGGGTTACAGTTATGTAAGTCAGGTAATGAGTACATTGCTTTTTGAACAGTGTTAACCCTCCCCCCACCAAGTTGTATAGTTCATTTCCAACATAGTGTCTGGTGAGTATCCCTGCTGAATTGGTTCACCCTTTGTTCCACCGTTACGTGCTTTCCCTCCCCAGATAATATAAACTTATATAAGACAAAGGGTACAGAAATTAAAAAACAGTGACAAAAGGAGTAAACTGAAGGAAAAAAAAAACTTGCAATCAGTACAATAAAACACCTCTTATTTCCATTTCTTGTAGTTCATTTTGAAAAGCATTATTTTATATGGTCATATGGATATAGCTATTGAGCCATTGTGAAACTCTCTTAAGAATATCCCCCTTTGTTCTCCTTATGTGAATGTTTAGAGTGCTGTCTAATCATGTCCAAGTGTATTAGGAAGGCTTTTTGAGAACTGAAATTAAATCTGAGTGGCTAAGGAGTAGTGTACTTTGAGATATCAGATGATAGAGAAGATCTTGGAGAATTCTTGACAGTTATTACACACGCACACGCACACACGCACACACGCACACACACACACACACACACACACAC